AAACAACTTGAACAATAGAATAACTTTATAGAAGGATAAGATTTAATATTTGATGTGTCATTGCTATTAAATATGTTGATTTGTGAGATTTTAATTACTTGTTGCAATGTTGCCTCCCTAGCAAGGTTTAAAACGTCTGCACGCTATGAACATAGGCCCCAAACTGCTCTGATAGTTGGAGAAACTCAAACTTAGTGCTTCTCTCGGAGAATAAACATTTTACTTGGGCCTGTGGAGAGAGACGGGATCAGAAATGCTAACAGAAAGGACTTTGTTCGTCATAGCAACAGACATTTTTCATTCACAGATATTCTTATTGATCTTGACTGAGTTTGATGCGGGCTAGCTTAACATGGTAACATATGTAACAAAAGCCACTGCTTAGCTAACCAGCGTTAGCAACCTTTGATCCTCTGAGGCACTGAAATGGAGATAAATTATCTCAGTTAGCTCATTGTGTTGCTTTAACTGGGCAACCAAAAACATCAGCAGTGCAAACCCTTGTCAGGGTTTTCTACCCAACTAAGTAGTTACAACTACCTATTCAGTTGTCAGTATCATCAGGCAGCAGTACAAACCATCGCTACTTGACATTGAAGTAGTGGTGGTACTGCTCAAAGGCAAACAATGCCCACTGATGGTGCTGTAGTGATGATCTGTGTTTGTAGGCCGGGAGTAAAGCCTTACAATGGAGATGAATCCTGGAGTTTTTGTGGGTCACAATAAGGCATGCTAGCCCTGCTGCTCGACCTTGCCCGGCTCTCTGGAGCGTCCCAGCTTGACACTGACAGTACAGAGCTGTTAACCAGAGTAAAGCTAAAGGCAGCCAACTCTCACTGCCTCGGTTCTTCCTCTATCGCTCTCAAAGCCCTCGCCTTGGCAGCTTATAGTCGGGGCACATTTCTCCCTCCAAAAAGCAAAGAAGCGCTTCACGGTTAAGAGAAGTCTGTGATTGGAACTCATAGAAGGCTTTTTTTGGAGGGGGGCTAATGACAGTTTTATAGTCGTATCTCTATCTTCGTGTTGGTGTTGCCGAGTCTGTATTCAAACGTTGTTATTGTAATAATATCTGTTGCACTTCTGTTAAAAGTCACTTTGCTGAAACCACAGACGTCGTGTCCTTGGCTCACAGAGCTCTGGCTTTTTGAAGTCAGCCACTTGTCTTTCATCAGACAGTCCAACAATAGTGAAGTGGCTCTTGACACTCAGCAGAACACAAGCACCATCTCTCAGTTTTTCAAGTGTTTGTGTGGGTGAAGAGACTATTACGCTTTAGAAGTCCTTTGGCGAATCGGTGCATGGGTTTTTAGAGTGTGTTTACATCTACGCGGACTTAAATTTTGAACCCTCCTTCAGTTCTGTTCAGCTGGGAATCTTTGAGGTTGTACTTCGTGTGAGCTCATTTTGTTCCCAGACGAAAATATGTGGTCTGACCACGATCACGGCTACAGTGGCGAGATATTGTGTGTGCCTGAAATGGCAATGTAGATGTGCAGGTTTGAATCTGTGCATTACCACTGTTGGTTTAAAGCGAAGCAAGTGAGATGTGATAGACGGACTCTCAGCTTTAATTCAAGGGGTTCATTGAAAATTATGCTTCTTAAATTTTTGTTCTTTAAAGAATTTTTCAATTAATGATTTAATTTATTTTCAGCCCTGTTAAACACGCCATCAGATTTGTTCATAGATTTATTTAATTTTTTAATAAAATCATAAAAACAGCAATTACATTTTGTAATTAATTTGGAATAATTTAATAGCTGATTGCACTTTTTTTTTTTAAACGGATGTAAGTAAAACCTGAGGATCACTTTCTGACTTTCTTTCCTCGTCTCCTTTGAGTTTATACGTCCTCAGTTCCTTATTTCATTCGAGTTCGAGTCAATACGACATCATCTCGATTTGGAGCCTTATTTTAAACATCGATTAATAATGATGTATGGCATAACAACATTAGAGCTCCTTTGTTTGTTTGTTTTTTTGCTAGTTGATATACATTCTTATTTACAGTTACAGATGGAGAACAGTATTTTAATTGCTTAAAGAAACAGTTGATCATAAAAATCGCTGATAACTTGAACAGCTTATTCATAAAGTCTTCTTCCAACACTAATATATTTGTTTTAAACTTCACCAGTAAAAAGATTTCTGCAAAGGATTGAGCTGTTCTTCCTCAGTTGTAACTCCTTCAGTGAGCCTGATGTCCTTTTGCTTTCCTGGCTCCTACAGATGAGTTTTAGGGATTAGGATATACTTTGATGCAGTGAGATAGATTTGAAGGTCCGAAAGAGATGCTTAAAAAAAATAGAAGTGCGAAAAGCCTCATTTGTCCTGCAGGTTTTTATGGCTAGTTTCATCCCCTATATGAAGCAGCGGGTTACACTCCTGCACTTTTGATTTTTGTTACCGTCTTTTGTTTAAAGACTGGTCAGGATTGTTTAGGAAAATGCATCCTTAAAAAGATTTTCTTCAGTGTTGAGCAAGCAGAAGGCAAACAGACCTCATCAGAAACTCTTTACTACTTTGTTGTTGCTGCAGCTATTAGCCAGTGTGCTTCACCCCCCTCAAAACCTAAACTATAGCTGCACATGGAGAAGAAATCAAGAGAAACAGAAGTGCTGTTTTTGGGTTTTTAGTTTTTTTTGCGTTTCCTTTTTTTTGAGCTGCACTCAGTCACGACTCCTGCTGGACCCACTGTGTCGGCAAGGCTGTGAGTGGGAGGAGTTGGACTCTTGACAGGCTGATAAGTACGGGAATTTCTAGTGCTTTTACTTCCCGTCTCGGCGCAACTCAGTTGACCTGCTGAATGCTACGGATACGCCGTGGAATGCTCCTGCACATCATCCATTCACAGGCTGCTCTCTATGAACACAACTTTTCATTATAGCTCAATAAAAGCAGGAGGAAACTCCTTTCTGGTGACGTAGCAGGGGCTTCTTAAGTTATGGGTGATTTTATGAAAAATAAAATCACCCTCAGTGGTTAACACAGTATTTTCTATTTTCAGACTTTTGAGCTAAAGCTGAGAATCTGCAGTCTTGATCATTTCATTTCTAATCTGTTGCACCATCTTCGTAAAAACTGTGTCGGCGGTCACAAATTGCCCGAGTTGACTGTGTTACTTTTAGCAGGGAATAGAGGAGGATCAGCTGGGTATTGGCTGATACAATAATATGGCTGAATTATATGGCAATAGCTGTATTGTGCAGTTCTACTTAAAGCCCCTCGCAGGGAAATGTTAAATGTTGCACATTTGCATAAGAAAACCAGATTACAGAGCATTACAGAAATTTAAACACGTTTGTGGTCTGTAACCTACTAATGAGGATTGATGCCCGGCCCCAAGGCTAGCCAGTAATTGCCGAGAGAAGTAGCAGGCATTCATTAAAATTTAGCAAACCACAAAAAAGCAATTAAAACAAAAGTTTTGAAAAGGAAAGGTCGACAGAAATAATGAATTTATAATTTAAGTACGCCAAATAAACCTTCACTACTTTAATATTAGCATTTGTGAAGCCTCGTTGTAGTTGTTCAACAGCTGCATTGATTTATAGATAAACTGCATTTTTGCCCTGCCGCTTCCCTGTTTGCGTTTATCTAGGAACAATCGAATGAGTCCCTCCCGTAGTAGTGTTCATTACTCAGGCTTTCACCACATTCACACCTTGTAGGTACTCTGCACAACCACTCTGTTTCTTTTCACTCTCGTATATCCACAAAAGAGGAAAAAAGGCTTGAAGGGCTCTTTCTGAAAATCAGCTTAACATATTTTCTGAGAGGAAAGATATTTCCACCCAGATGATCTTACTGATTCACACTTTGAATCATTGACCTTTTACTCAGCTATCACAAGGACAGTGTTATTTGTCCAAATTAGCTTTTTTTTTTGGCTAAATGACATCACTGCTGATGC